AGCTCCGGGTCAGCCTTCTGAACCTAGCCCCCCAAACCACCCGGCCCATGGAGGCGACACTCCACCTTCTTCACCACCACCCCGGCCCACTCTCTTCGTCACCAGCATGAGTTCCAGGGTGATCAGTCGAAAAAAGTGGCTGCTGGTCCTAGACCATTCAGGAGAGTGCCGAAACCCCAAGGGGGGTTCTTTGTCAGGTCATGAGAATCATACCTTATAGTTTTGGTTGATCACTTCGTTCCACGAGTTCAGCCAAGTGGCAGAATCACTACCACCGCTGCTGCCCTTGCCACTTTGACCCCAGCTGCCACCGGCGCTGAAGCCCTTGTAGCCTCAGCGTTTCTGCACCGCCGATGTCTGGAAGTGAGTGGAGTAAAAAGGGAAGTGAGTAGAGTAACTGGAAGTGAGTGGAGTAAAATGGACATCCGCATGTCTTCACCACATCCAAATGCCCTCCATCCAACAGGTGTGCGTCTTCGCTGTTGCATTAGACAAGCTGTGCCCACAATGGTCTTTGTGTTCATGTCCATAAATCTTGGAGAGCACGGGGCTTCCTTTAATGCCAACTCTACTGTACTATATAAAAGATTGCCTGCATCAATCAGAATTGGTCTGTCAGTTTGCACTTTGCACAAGCTTCCAGTTGGTGTGGACTGACCTTCAGTAGGACTAGTAGGACTCAGACTGTTGCTACTAAATTATATACTTCTTTCACTTGTGGGCGACTGATAGGTCACATGGTGGCAGTTCTTCTCAATCTTTCCCTGAGAGTCCACTTGATGAAAAAATGGTCGCCTTCCGGGTGACCTTCCAAGAACTGAACTTCACACATCTTCACATGAATCAGGGGGCAGTCTAGGTCGCCTTCATTCGGAACTTTCTCTCAGGTACATCTGGTGTTTTAGGTACATCTGGCATCCTGGATTGGAATTCTGGTGGAATCCTGGAAGGTCCTTCCCACCATCGCACCTGCAGTCCTGCACCCCATCGATCCTCTCGCCGCCGAACAGGCTTCCCTTCCCATCCACAAACCGAAGCAGGCAGACGAACGCTCCACCCCAGTCCCTGGCACGTCCATCCCACCCCAGGTGGGTTGGAAAGTTCTCTGGCCGCAGATCGGTGGTTTCAAGACGAACGCTCCACCAACTCCCAGTAGCTGGGCTTCCATTGCGTCTGCTGGACGCCCTTCATGGGGGCTCCGGTGCCTAGAGCGCGCACGCCCGCGAGAGTTCCAGGCGAGGGGATGGGGAACGCCGGGTGAGGTGAAGAAAGAGGTATTGAGGTACAATGTTTTGGTACTATGCTATCTACATGGTGTTATGTTTGGGGCAGCTCTGCTATGCTGAGTCCTGCATGATATTATCGCTGCGCGCGTACGTGTTTTGTTGATGGTGTTACGAGTACATGCTTGAAACACGAGCCCCCTTTCATCCTTTGGATGGAAAATCGATGTCCACCCCCTTGTGAAACACCACCCCCCAGCGGTCCTCCATTCCCGCCTCGCCGCGGCCGCGCGCCCCACCGAGGCCAACCCGTGTCTCTTGGGGCACAGCCGCAGCGCCGCTGCGTCGGCGCCGCGTCGCCCGGACGGAAGGGTCGCTGTCCCCGAAGGTTTGAGGAGAGAAGGGTCCGCCGTGTCGGCCGTCCGACGGTTGGGAGAGGTTGGAACCCAATGACTTGTGCAGCTGCAGCGGACTCGTGAAAAAGAGCCCTCCGCCCTCCCTCCCCGAAGAAGAAGAAAGGCCGGGCTTTTCAAAAAAAAAGGAAGGGACACGTGAATTCAGCACAGGTTTGGTAGAAAACAAGGCGAGTGTTGGCAGTGTTGGGTTGTCTTTCAGGGCTCTTCCGGTCAACGGCGGGGGGGGCCGAGAGGCCCAATGGGTGATCACCCTGATCCCTAGCGGCATGCCGATCCAGTCACCTGCGCATCTGGGTACGCCCTCATGGACAGACATCAATCGCTGGCCTCCAACCTCATAGCGATGGCCTCCAACCTACTAGCGCCTTTAGGAAATCGCAACGAACATTGAGATCCGAAATGTTGAGCGCAGATCTTGTAGACATGTGGGTAATGAATGACCCTCCGCAGGCGCACGTCATTTTCCTTCCATTGGTGCATGAAGCAAGACTGGTACTGGCTGACGCACAGCCACAAGATACACAGTGAGGCAGGGCGTCTTTTTGGCAGATTGATCCCATGGAGGCTCGATGCCTGAATCCATTTAGCCCTACTCATAGACTATCAGACCATCCCAAATAGTGTTGGAAGTGTGCAGCTCCAGTCAAATGAAGGAGCAAAAAAAGCTTATTGCTAAGCAAGGCAGAAGCAAAATCTAGCTCATTCCACGAGGCCGTTCTACCTGATCAACCTCATGACTTTGCCTCTTCGGTCGCGTTCGTCAGAGTTCGCTAAATCCATCGATCAATCCGCTCGGTCGATCGGCTCGTACCGGTCCCAGGATTTGGGCTCTGGTGGCTCTGGCTTCATGAGAGGAAATGGGCTTGCCGTCCTCCGTCGATGCAAAGGCGTTGGGAGGAAATCAGAATTTCAGAGGAGGAATTGGACGCTTCGAGTAGGAGTATTAGAGTATTTGAGGAAAGCTTTACCTCTTGTCTTCCTTCTGAAGTATTGTAAGCTTTGCCTCTTGTCTTCCTTCTGAAGTAGTGTGGAAAGAATTGTCAAACTTGATCAGGCGCTGCGGACAATGTTCAGATTCTGGTTTGGAGTGCCATGCTTGAAGAAAAGAACCTGGTAAAGGCTGTGACGTCTTCTTCTCACTCACCCTGCCCCCAACATGTAAGTCCGGACTCTCCCCTCTATAAGTGTCCAAAACCGAACTCCGAAGCAAAGCGAGGGGTGCGCGTCGCCGGTCCCACCGGAGGGGCCCCATCTGTCGGCACAACGCTCACCGTGCCGAGTGATTGGGCTCAAAGGGAACTCGTTGGGAGTGGAACCCGGACATGACCTCTGTTTTGATAGGAACTTTGGACCATATTTTGGGTGGTTGGGGGTCCTCAAAGTGAGGTCAGACTCAGGTTCTAGGTCTGTAGAGTGATGAACCAAATCAGCGACCGACTTGGAGGATTCAGTGACCGACCTGGTCAAGCCCCTGACCACAAAGTCTTTCCATGGTGAACCTGGACTGGTCGACCCACTTCGGCCCGAAACGAGCGGACTGGATGTGCGGCTGTTAGTGGGGACCTTCAAGGACTAAAACCTCTTCGGCGCCTAAGGACTTACCCAGAAACCGAAGGAACATCGAACAATCACCGGTTCTTCCCGCCCAAGCCAGGCTGGCGCCGGCTGTGGGGACCTCGTGCTTTCTTCGAGCCTCACGAGCCGATGACCTCCTCGGCTCCCAAACCACTGGCATCCTGAAGATGGGCCGGCCAAACGAAGCGTCCGTTTCGATAACCTTCTAGGTCCTCTTCTGATCCTTCTTCAGAGAGGAAGGTCGGGGAAGGGAAGAATGGGATGGAGATGGGAGGTGATGGGATTGATTTTGAGGAGAAATGAGGGGTACCACCCACGCATGGAATTTTGAAAGTTGCAGGCACGGCGCGTTCTGTGGTTCTTTTTGCGCGTGTACAGCGAAAACCGGCAAGCCGGCATGGGGAGGTAAAAGCGCATATGAGCAATGCTACCAAACACTGCCTGTCTACATCATATCTGAGCCTGTTTTCCCGTGCCATGTTGGTGTCGATGACCAGTTCCCCAGGTTTGGGTGTCTCAAAGAAAGGTGTTCCATTAGCTGGGGTAGATCCTTCTCTAGATTCTCATTAGCCGGAAAAGTGAGGACTAGGAACAAGAAGCTACTAGGTGGAGGCCATCGCAGGCCATCGCCATTAGTAATAAAGCTTTTTGGTATTTCTTTGAAGCTACTAGTAACGAAGGGCATCGCTACTAGGAGCAAGAAGCTACTAGGGGCGCTCCTGGCATTTCTATTTACTAGTGACAGTAAAGATCAATAAATAGAGCTAATTCAATTGATTCATAGGGTCAGCAGCTGGCGGTCGTCACTCCTTATTCAGGACTTTAGCCGGGGCCCAGGAACCACGTCACACGTCGTGAGCCCTGCATGGATTGAAGGTGAATTCCCCATGAAACCTTGAACATAGAGCGCTTCGGCGCTTCGGTCTCAATTTGGACACTCTGCTTGACCTGCTTTTGGTGATTCTTTTCTAACTGCTCAAAGCTCCCTTCCAAAATCGTTGGATCAAAACACTTCAGCACCTTGCTAAAGCTGCCCTGCAGCTTTCGCGTGCCCTTCGCACCCCAACCCTTCGCACGCCAAACCGCGAAGGCCTAACGGCCCCTTGTCCCCGAAAACACACGGATCCCCAAAACGTGCATTCTGCGCATCGCCCACAACTCCGCCAATGCCAAACATGAGCCGCCCCCTTCCCAACGGGGCGGCTCATAACCGATGCTCGTTCCGAGCAAAAATTCCAACGAGTTTGAGAACCACGGGTTCCGAGGCGAAGAAAAACCGAGAACCCGAAAGAAGAAAGAAAGAAACCGAGCGGTTCTTCACCACGATGGGGCTTTCAAGAACCGAATCCCCTGTCCGGTGCGAACCGATGGTTCCACCCCCTCGCGCGCCCCCACGCCGAGCTGTGGGGCCGCTCGGTGCCTCGAAGAGATGAAATTGACAAAGGCTCCCCACCGTCAAGGCCTCGAACGGACCCGCAGGCGATTGGCGCGTGGCGCTTGGCTTGGCGCGGAAGGTGCGCGAGATGGAAGGCGCGCGATGGGGGAAGGCGAGGCGAGGAATTTCCGGTAGCAGATCTCGGCCATCACTGCGAACTCTTTTAAAAAAGAGAAAACGTATCTGAAGATTCTGAAGGTGTTGGGGGGACTCAAGATGATTGACCTAGATCCATGAGACTTGGATGTCACAGAAACAGGTCAAAAACCTGTCGCTTTTGACCTTCCATCAGCCTCTTTCAACTTCAAGACTGCAGGACTAAAACCTTCTACAATACTCAAACTATCTTTTCTGGCCAAAGTTGCGAGCTTCATTGCACAAACTATCATAAACTCATGGTTTGCTAGGTGAGCCGTTCCACAACTTCAAGCACTCCACTACTTCAGCACCAGCTTTTTCGTCTTAAGACAGCAAGCACATCAACTCACATGTGGCTCATCTGGTGTGCAAACCAATTATTGCAATGCATCTTCTGCAAGCTGAAGCTTGCACGAGGTGGGCTGAACAAAGAACTCAGCTTGCACTGATAATGCATCATTAATAACGTTCAAAAACAGCGTAGCACGGGCAAACGGGTCGAACATCATACGGTTGAGGCATGCCAAGTGCTTTCTCCAAATCAATACGTAGATCATACTGAAAGTGCCCCGGAGTGGCAAGAATCACGTGGAAGCTCGCATAGATGCTTATCCTCATCCAAAGTGCCCCATACATGCTGAACCTTGGCACGCGACCACTGGGCTGTTCCAAAGATCTCGGTGACTGCAACATTCCGGCTATGATCTGAGGAGTTGAATTCAATGGCTATAAGCACGCAGTTCTCCTCTGTATATCCCACTTCATTGTTCAACCGCTCAAGCGAAAGGCGCCAATTCGTATGGACTTCTTTGTACTGCAAAGGAACCCCAGAATAGAAGCATCTACCTTGCTGGCGTGCCAACAAGCACAACAGGTTTGACAAACTTATGCTGCATTCTTGCCCTCGCAACTTGGAACGACTCTGCGCTCCAAACAGAATTGCTTTCAGGTGGCCGCGCAAGGTTGAGCGATAAGCACGACCCACCACTTTGTCACACTGTTTGCAGGATGATCTATGTCCACTCAATTTCGAAGCATCCCTATAGAAATCAGCATGTGGTTTCTGCTCCAAGCATTTGGTGCAATGTGCAAAGCCTGGCTCTGGACTTGGCTCTGACTGCATTGACATTTTTGGTGCATTGCCTCTTGACCTAGGCATCCTTGGAGGTGGGAGCAGCGCTCCTTCGATATCTTTGTGAAGCGACGCCAAATCCAAATTGGTCTGGCGCAAAGCATGAACTTGCTGAACCTTTTCTGCTGACCATTGTGCAGTTCCTTTGACTGCGTCTGCATCAACGCCTGGGTGGCGACTATAATCCGAGCTGTTGAATTCAGCAGCAATCAGCACGCAGTTTGCGCGGGTGTATCCTATGCTGTTGTCAACCCGCTCAAGAGAGACTCGCCAATGACTGTTTGGAAGTACCAACTCCATTGGCACCCCTGAGTAAGCACATCGTGCCTCTTGATATGTCAACATATCACAAACATGTTCACACGTCAAGGAAAACTCCTGTCCACGTGCATTGGCCTTGCTTTTGGCATTGGCCAGCATGTGAGAGATGCATCCGCGCAAAGTCCGAAAATATTTCAAGCCTTGCTCTTTTCTGCAGTCTATGCATCTGCTATTTGGCTTCTGCCTGGCTGTCGCAAAGTAGAAGCTCTCAGCTGGTAGCCACTTGTGGCAAGAAAGGCACTCCCACTCCCCTGCATGGTTGGCCAACCTGCTCTCTCGCCTTGGCGGATGGCTTGTGTCACGAGAAGGAGACAACCTCCCAACAGCAATCATCTCCTTCAATTGGTTAGTGCTGAGTGGTTTGGGTGCGCATTGCTCAAGTTTGGCTGAGGCAAGTTCTGTGGTCTTCCAGCAGTCACCAACCAACGAGCGTGACTGAACGAGGCTTGATGTCGTGAATGTGTACTGTAACGTTCTTCCTCCAGCAATCACGCAACAACGCCCCACAAAGGCCGCGCCATGTATCCTCATCATGGGCATCTTCAGCAAAGCACGCAGGTGACACTTGTGAAAAATAGATCTGCAAGCAACTCTGTGTAACCATATGCCTCCTACCCCAATTCCCCAAAACCCCTTGATCGTCACCCCTTGACCGTCAGCCTAGCTATTCGTGAAAAAAAGAAGACCTAGCCCTTCGTTGCCGCCAGCAGGCCTCGAGGCCGCCCTGGAGGTCATTCATGCTGACCTCAAGCAGCGCTCGGAGAGAAGGGTGGAGACAGAAGGCTTCTCCCCGTCTTTGTTTTCACCAAATGCTTTACATGTTCAAACAAAAATGTGTGTTTTCTATTTTTGTTCGAACGTACAAGAGTTATCATAGTGTCATTGGTCAAGAAGGTCAAATGATGTCATGATGGCGTAGGAACTGGATCCCGGATTATCATTGCCTCCGTCCTCTTTCAGATGAAAAAACTACCCAGGGCGCCCCCAACAGCTGCTGCTGCGTCTACCGTACGCTTGACGAAGAAGCGGAGACGCGCACAGCGCAGGGGTTGTGCTTTCTGACACCAGCGCTGGACTCGAAGGTCAAGGAGGTGTCGAAAGGGAAAAGAAAGATCAGAAAAGGGGGCCGGGGAGGTTCGGGAAGTACAGTACTTGGAGATGACTGGTGCGAGACTCATCTTGATGTGGGCGATGTGGGTTCACTCTGACGACCACAGAGGTCCATCCCAAGTTGGCAAACAGAAGTACGAACAATCTCTGCTGCGAGCCGTGTCACCGCTTCAAAACAGATCTTCAAAGTGGAGCGTCCACCCGATCGACACGCCCAAGGAATCGCACACCGTGGAAGAAAGGGCGATTCGTCAAAGCAGTCGTCTGCTACAGCTGGAGCTGCATGCCAAAACCGCACCAGGTTCTACCAGAAAATCGACAGCTTCACCTCCTCTGCCAGCTCCAAGTGTCCTGGGACCCTTAAAAAGAGGTCCGCAATCTCATGAGGACCTTCCTTGGGGCGGTGCGCATCCAAATATGATCGGTTTGACCCGCCCGAAAACGAGCGCTCAGGCGTTCATCCCCCGAAAGGGGAGAGGCTGTGGCTGTGGTGTCATGGCACCAGGGGACCCGGCTCTGGTCAGTTTCGGGCTCCAGGCCAGCTGACTCACAGTTCTCTCTCCGAACCCCAAGTGTTGTCAAGAAGATCTCAGCCTTTGGACCATGTCGAAATGGCCATCTTTTGAAAGCTATCTTTCATAGCCACGTACCTCAGAAAACCAAAAAACAAACACATTCCAAATGACACCCAACAGCATAAACCGTGATGGTGATTTTGACGCCTGACCCCATCGAAACGTCTTTGCGCTTTATGAGCTGATCTGCTACCAGATTCAGCACACCGTCGACCAAATCAACTGACCTCGTCCGCCGAATGTGCTGGCCCAAGAGACGTAAATGTGGCCCTGGCATTGGAGCATGTGGCGAAGGGCTTTGGGTGTCCAAAAAAGAATTCCTGCAGGTCAAAGACCTCATTTCACTGGTGTTGGGCATACACTACTCAATGAGGTGTAAAGGACCAGGTTGTACTCAGTCGGACTAACCTGTAGAAGATGGATAACGATACAACAACTTCTTCATTGGATGTATATCGCTACCTCACTTACCCGCCAACTTGGTTGCTCCCTATTCTATAGACTATAGATATAACTACAGTATCAGTATATACATATACAATTTAACCAAGCCCAAACTGATCACTTGCGGTGAGTGTCCTTTGCTTGCCTTTCCATGAAGAAAATACAAAGGCGCCCAAGAACCATTCACGCAGGGTGCAAGAAAGTCGTCTGCCCAGGGCTTGGTGCAAGGTCTCTTGTGCTTTGCACCTTTCCCTACGTTCGTCCAGTCTGACCCAGTAAAGCCTGGTCTTTTACCTCCTTAAGTATTGGTTTTGTATGGCCATCCCCAGTAAAATGAGGTCTTTGACTGTCTTTGACTTGTAGGCTTTTGGAACATACTTGCCTTGATCAGCGTCTGCTCACTTCGGAACCAACGTCCACCCCCCTGTTCTGAAGGATCCCCGCACCACTTCGGACCCCACCGGTGGGTGTTCGAAGGATCGCCTTATGCCGGTCCGCCATGTGGTGTTCGATCGGAACGGTGGGCTTGATCCAGCCATACTTGCCTGACCAGCGAGGCGGACGAAGGCGAGAGCGACGAGACCAAAGGAGAAGTCCATTCGGACGACAAACGTCGCCTGAAAATACCTGGAACATAAAAGGGTCACCGAACGGTCTACCTGTTCTTGATTTAGTGCGCAAACCGCCACTCCCAACAAAAAGGCGACCGGCAGATCCACATACGTCCTGGGTATGTTGTTACTAGATGCTTCGACGAGGTCTGGGTCCCGAACGCGGCGACAGGAGGAGCGATGCCTCTGGTTTCGGAGCCGTGTTCCAACTACGGGGGTGGGTGCTAACTCTACCTTCACAGGTGGTGCTTGGAGGCCTGGCCCTCGGGTCTCTTCCGTCCATGTGCACCGACGCGGCGCGGAAAGAGGCGCCAGGCTGGGCCTTTCCATTCCAGCACCTCTCCTGGGCGTCGAAAGCGAGTCACACAGGGCACGTCCGCCGGGGCGACCGATGCGCAAGGGCAAGGCGCACCGGTTTCTGTGAATTAAAAGAAGTTGAACTAAACCCTACAGGTCAAGGATGGTCAAGGACCTCATTGGACGGTGTTTCTGTTTCAATGTTACAAAAGGCCATTTTAAGGAAGGCGACCGTCTTGCCATGCCAAAGGGCCTCCAAAAAGAGAAGACTCGGCCTGGAAAAATCATCCTGTTGCCTGAAGCAATAAGTGTTGAGGTGGATACGTTCTCGGAAGCAAGAACATGTCTGGGTGTCCGATGGAGATACCAAGTACAAGTAGTGTAGGGTAGTTCGGCCAGGATACCGCTCGGATGGTCCTGGTACCCTCATTGGATGTCTTGTTCTTTTCGGAATGTTTGATTGCTTTTCAGAACTGATGGTGCAGGAAGTGAGGGACTCCGGATTTTTCGGCGGCAGGAATGGGTGGTGGACCCCCCGAAGTCCGAGTTTTCGACGGGTGCACCCATCTTGGAATATGACTCGTGGGTGTCCGTGATGTTTCAAAAGCGAAACAGAATGGACCAGGAGCATCCAATGGTTGTCCAATGGAGAGCCCTTAGGGCTCTCCATTGGACCCATTGGATGCTCCTGGGAGGCATTTGTTCCACTTCCAAATGATGTGTTGGTGAGACCGGGCGGCTCTGTCGATCCGTGTAGACCGAGTCTTGCACCGCCATGAAAGGCGCGAAACGCTGCAGAAGCACAGGTCGAAACACATGCCCTACAGCAAAACTGGGCCGGAGGGTGAGTTTGTGGATGCAGATGTCTAACTGTACCTTCCTTGTCTCAAAGCCATTTTTTCCGAACTGGGCCAGCCACGAACTTCCCACACACAAAAACCAGCCACTCCCACCTGAAAGGACCTTAAAAAGCACCTGAGAAGGCACCATTCCAACCCCATCCCCCTGCTTGACCATGGAAAATGAGAAAAGAGACTTTGGCCATCCCCACTCCGCCCTCTGCCTCCCCTCGTCTCCCTTCACGCCCCGAGCGTCCGGTCACCGGCTCGGTGGAGATCCGCGCGCGCGCCAGGTTGGGCCCTGAAGGCCAGCGCTGCTGGAACTTGCCCTTGCCCTGGCCGTCCGTCGGCGTCCGGGGGTCGCGCGGCAACGGAATCCACGCGGTGACCTTTGGTTGGTCGTTCCGGGTGGTTGCGGGTGGTTTGGGGTAGTTTGGGGTGGCACACGAAAGAAAACGAAACAAGGCAGTGAGAGCAAAGAGAATCTTTCTGAAGAATGCAGGAAGCGCCTTCCTTGAAATGCCAGGGCTGGAATTCAAAAAGAAATACAAACCATTGACATACGGAAGGCCACAGGACGTTTTGATCTTCTCACACCCAATGGAGTCAAGCATCTTCCAATCTTTCCGAAAACAATTCGTGCGGCCGAACTCCGAGGTCTTTGTTCCGAGTGCTGCCGGTCTGCGGTACGCGCCAGCGCGGGACTCGGGACTCCTCGGTACTCGCGTGCTGGGCGGCGGACGCCGGCGCGGCGTACGCTGGGGCGGGGACGGTGCGCCTTACCCTTCCAATAGCCACCAAAGTTGCTGCCCATCATCATCCCACCTTTCAGGCCACCTGAGGGGCCGAAGGAGTCTGAGCGGAGTCGGAGTCGAAGAGCGTGGCAAAAGAAGGAGCGAGATGGTGGAATGGATGGATGTTGGCACCCCCAAGAAACGGGCATATACTGTATATGGTCTTGGGGGCGAGCCCAGGAAGGAGTTCGGATGAGTTAAAGGGCAGAAGATGGATCTTACACAGTGGGTTTAGAGTATGGCACAATCCCCAAGTTTGTTGGGTTAATAGAACCCCCATCTGAAAGACGTCTTGGGGGTTGTGCCATCATTGATCTATCCAAATCTATCCAAATTGTCGGAAAGGCTTCATCCTGAGGCATACGCAGCTGTGCTTGGGAGGAAGAGAAGATATCCCAGGTTGCTCATCTCTCAAAGTTTGTACAGCCCAGCCCAGAATTTCGCCCCCCCCCCAGGCGTTTCGGAAGCGTTTGAATCTCTTCAGCAGTTTAGGAGGTGGAAGTCCTGCTTTCCCGCCTAATCATTCCAAAAATCAGGATGTCAACACAAATCCCAGCTCGATAAAGGGATTCAAAGGTCATGGCTCGCTCCAAGGTCACTCCCATACCGGCGCGACAGCCCGCCTTTGCAGCCGCCCCAGCCTTTGCCTTAAAGAAACGAGACCATGAAAATCCCTGAAACCCGCTTTCGAACCAACAAAGACATGTTTTTTCCATGGAACCGGCTTTCGCCCCCCCCAATCGCATTCACCCACACCACTCGCGCGAGTGATCGAGCCCAACCCGTTGGGAGGGACGGAGAGAGGTGTATTTCACGGAACATCCTAGGTGATCCAAAATGGTGAGACTTGGGTCAAACGCAATAGTTAGACCAAACGAGTTCGTGTGTTTCTGAACGATTAATCAAATTAGACCTGACAAAATGCTTCTGAGAGTACCTACACGATACGGAAAGCTTCAATCACGTAGGCCTCAATGAGGCTTCCGAGATCTTGATCTCTAGAAGTCAGGATGGGCCGGGGGGGCACCACATCTGCTGCAAGACCCCTCAACCGAAAGGGACTGCTCCCTGGCCAGCGGTGTCCCACCTAAAATGTGCACCAATGGGCACTGTGGAAAGTCTTTCAGAGGGGATTCTGCAAGTTCTTGGCCTGCTGAGGAATTGAGGCTTTTCCACATCTTTGGTAGGGAAGCCAATCCTAAATCCTAAAACAAGTATCTGCAGAGACCATCCCAGCACATACCAAGTAAAGTCGGTATGAATATGGTAAGTGGTGCAGCATTCTATGCATCTGGAGCAGTAGCTAAAAGGGCTACGTCAAGCCTTCCATATACCTCCTTCTTCACAAGCACGGATATATCTCTTCATCTACGGATTGGGGAAAAAAAACTAGGGTTCTTCAGATTGACCAAAGCTTTGGTTCCAATCTTGTTTGCTTCAGCTTCGTCCAACCAGGCGTTTGATGCGAGGCGTCGATTGCAGAACAGCACTGGGGATCCTCCTTGAAGGATGGTGACCCTCAATCTGACCGATGGTGAAGCAGGGAAGCATGGTGCCGTTGACCACTGAAATGTCAAAGAGATGTCCACCTCAAAAATGTCCACCAAGTCGAAAGGCCTAAATGAATTGACTCATGACCATGGGCTCAAGTCAAGTCTGCTCATGTCTTTACTCCAGCACAGCCAGATTGTCATCGAAGCGGCCCCAGCCCTTGCCCCAGCTGTTGCCCTTATAACCTTGGCACCGCAACAGGAGGCTGGGCCACTGGGAAGGTCTCCCAAAAGGGGACATCGACCATAGACAAGCAGTGATGGTTTAATGCACGCGACCTCTCGTTGGCTCAAACCTGTGGACCTTCCATCAGAAAACACCGATTGGATAGGAGGAACCCAGTTCCATTGGACACAGGAATTGGTTGAAACGGAGACCACTCGAGTGGTCGCACAGTCGTTCCGTCGGGACGGTCGTCAGCGTGCACTTGGGGTGTCGGACGATGCCCAGAGGCTCCCGGTTTTGTGATACATCTCTTTGAGAGAAGAACGAACGAAAACCACCCAAACTCCTCAAGTTGCTGGTTTGCTGCTTTCACGTCCTTCTTAGAGTTTGCGCTCTGAATCGCAACTCATAAGCTCTATGTCAGTGACACACAGTTGGCACGGGTCGATGTAAGTTCCAAACTCTCTAAAGCCAGGCAGGGAGGTATGTAATTAAGTGGTCACTGATAAATCAGCTTCATCACTTCTTGTCATTTCTCCATGCGCACCCGTCAGTGATGGGAATCACACACACCAGTCGTTCAAAACGACTCGAACTGCGCGCCCTTCCCATCGGCCGTGTCCGAGAATGGTTCTGAAGTGTGAACTTAAACCGGGAGAGGCCTTGCTCAAATGGGAGTTAATCTAATCGTACTGTTCAGGCTTTGCAGTGATCGTTTGTGCTTTGCACCATTGTTTGCATGCCACACTTGCATCTTAGCCCAATGGGATAAGGGGGGTCTTTGGGAGGTCTCGCTCTTCCGATACAGACCCATGTGAACTCTCTCTCCAAGTCACTCGGCTTCCACTGCGTCTGCTGCACCCCAGGCCCACTGCCACTCTCGCCCTGCGCCTCGCCACCCTGTGCTTCGCCGCCTTCAGACATGGCCTGTGCCGGACCGAGGATTGGCAGTTGAAACCTCGCGACTCCAAAAGCCCGCAGTTTTGACAGCAGGGAAAGCTGAGAAAACATACGTCCTTTGTGAAGGATCGGTTTTCCTGGATCCATATTCCATTGGCGTACCTGAGTCAGAATGCAGCTACAAATCCATATGAGACGTGGCGACCTCAGGTTCTACAACCTTTGTCTTTTTCCCGTCGAAACAAGCATAACGACACGGCAGCCCATGTCGTCCGCCGAGCTGCGTGCCTGGACAGGGCGCAAAAGCGCGCCGGGCGCGCACGAGTTCGTGCCGCTTGATGTGTTTGAGCCAAACATTGATCGAGATGGGCCCATCGGTGGAGGTGGTGAGACTGGTGAGATCCATTGGTTGGAGGGTTGGGAAAGGTGACAGATGTTCAGACTTCAGATGTGCAACCCAATCAGTGGCATCGTTACCCTTCAAAACTGAAGCCTGAGAAAAGGACGGAACTGACCGTTCGTAGATAAGCTGCTCTGGAACCATTTTTGCAACCCGTGGTTTGCAGGGGAAAACCTTTTCAAAGCCCAGTTTTTGAGCTACTGTTGCAGGAACAATAAGTTGCATCCGAGAGTCAGTCAAGCACACATTCAAAAAGCATTGGGGAAAACCGGTGGCAACTCTAAAATGATGCCAGCATGGACCCTAAGCGGTTGAAAAACCTTCTTTCTTGGGGTCAACTCCTTGCATTCCAATCTTGGTGGTCACTTCTGTATTGGGAATGGCATGTGCACAAAACATGTGGGACTCTCTTTTGGTTTTTGGTGCGCGGGGTCACATCTGCAAACACCAGGGGGGATATTTATATATATATATATATACAAGTCATGAGAGAATCGGAGGATAGGACAGCAGGAGGAGAAGAGGAGGCGAGCTAGGACACCAGGAGGACAAGGAGGACCACTGGAGACAAGAATAGGACAAGAAGAGGACAATAGGACAAGCGCGGCCAAAGACTGGCCAGCCTTTTTCTAGAGATTTTGCCTGCATAGACCCCAAACAGTTTCCGCATGGTTTTGCGTCAATTCCTTGAATTCCAATGTTGGCGGTAACGCTTGCATTGGGAATGGCATGTAAACGTTAGAAAACAATTGTTCCTGATTCCCGAGGTCACATGTGTAAACACGACCGGATACAATATGAAACGCTGCATCATTGTTGCATTCATAGCCACACGAACACGTACCTGGACAAGGCGGTGGATTCAGGGAAAGCACGTGGCCAAGCAGGGGATCCGGCCGGGACAAGGCAGTGATAAAAGGGCCGACAACACGGCACGGTGCGGCCAAGCAGGACACACAAACGTGGACAAGCATGGACAAGGTCCAGGCAAGGCCTGGACAAGGCCCGGAAAAATTGGACGAGGCCACGAAGGTGTTTGGGGAACAAAGGAAGAATGGGAGGACACAGCGCGGCTGGAGAGCAGCGGACAAAACAAGGAGGACACAGGATTCGCGCGTGCCAGACGAGAAGTGGAGGACATGTGGAGGACAAAAAGAGGAGCAGAAGAGGACAAAAGGAGGAAAACACAAAGGGCAAAAAAAGGACAACAGGATGACAAGGTCTGGAGCCCGGCTGGAAGCACCGCCAAGCTGCACAGTATAAGAAGGGCAAGAAGGGGACAAGGTCTGCAGACCAACGCTTTGTTCGACGACGCTGCGCGATTTGTTCGACGCTTCCGATGCTTTCGGACCTTTCACAGGTCTCCGTCCCACCGCAGCTGCGCGATTTGTTCGACGCTTCCGATGCTTTCGGACCTTTCACAGGTCTCCGTCCCACCGCAACACCGCACCGCGACAGCACAGAACGCACCGGGCATTTGACGCTCAGATCTTCACCTGGAGACATTCGCCATGTTCGGACGCGACGTGACGCCGGGTTCGGACTCCGGGTTCGGACGGTGTGGGTTCAGGCATACGTACGGGGCAGGAGGCGTGCTGTGAGTTCGAAACAAGTAATACCATAAGCACGTACCATTCTGATCCATTCTAGCCGGTTGGGAGGTTCAGCGTATGTTCCATGCTGACCCTGGAAATTGTGTGTGTGTGTCGCACTCCGTATCCCGGAGTTTTATATTCAATTATAAATCTAAACACTCTCTGCAGAAGACCAGGCAGGATACATCGTCGCCTGGTCAGCGAAGCTGACGATGTATCCGAGGATATGGAAATGGGACGACATTTCCACATACCTCCCCTTCTAATCAGGGAAACAGAAGGAAATTGTACTCGACACACTTGTGCGTCGGTGCCTTTCCTTCTGTTGTCCCTTCTCTGGTCTACTCTACCCGGGCGGTTTCGCTCCCTAACTATTGCGCGTAATTAAAGACCACTAAGTTTTCAGTACAGGGCTAATGCAAAGCAATGTTTAACAGTTCAATCGCGCTGACCACCTCGCCTTGCTGTTCCCTCATTCATTTCCTTGTGGATTGTGATATCGAAAGAACCTTTATCTAAGTGTGTCTCGCTACGCTTTCCCACTCGGGTGTGTAGTGTGATCCCCGTCACAGGGGCGCTGAAACCACCGTGAATCACAAATCGAATTGGCCTTTCTGCACTCGCGGATTATGGTGTTGAATTCCTTTTGTCTCACCCATGAATCGACCGACCTCAAAGCTGCCGAGCTACGGTTTCCACGCCGCCGGGCATACGGAGAATAAACCCCCACCCCCTTCCCTCCCCCCTCTTTCTTTCTTGCGGCTTCTTCACTTGTTAGGTGTTTCTTCAGGCTTGTTAGGTTGTTCTTGAGGCTCGTTTCCCTGCCCCTCGGTCTCGCACTTTTTTGTTCCACTTATCTTTCTCTCTTGCCCTTTTCGCTTTGCTCTTTCTGTCTTTCTTTCCTTTCTAAGGCTTGTTAGGTGGCTATTCAGGTTTTGACTCCGTAGTTTGCCACTGGCAGCCATGCACGACACTACCCCTATTTTTCTCTCTTGCCCTCTTGGCTTGCTCTTTCTGTCTTTCTTTCTCTTTTTCTAAGGCTTGTTAGGTGGCTATTCAGGCTTTGCGCCGTGCGGCAGACATGCACGCCTCTACACCTATCTTTCTCTCTTGCCCTCTTTCGTTTGCTATTTTTCTTTTCCTGTTCTTTCTTTCTAGGGCTTGCTAGGTGACTACTTTGGAGCGCTCGCCGCACTGCGGCACCTTGTGTGTGTCGCACTCCGTATCCCGGAGTTTAATTCTATAAATTAACCACTCTCTGCAGGGGACCAGGCAAGATACATCGTCGCCTGGTCAGCGAAGCTGACGATGTATCCGAGGATATGGAAATGGGACGACATTTCCACATACCTCCCCTTCTAATCAGGGAAACAGAAGGAAATTGTACTCGACACACTTGTGCGTCGGTGCCTTTCCTTCTGTTGTCCCTTCTCTGGTCTACTCTACCCGGGCGGTTTCGCTCCCTAACTATTGCACGTAATTAAAGACCGCTAAGTATTCAGTACAGGGCTAATGCAAAACAATGTTTAACAGTTCAATCGCGCTGACCACCTCGCCTTGCTGTTCCCTCATTCATTTCCGTGTGGATTGCGATATCGAATGAACCTGTGACTAAGTGTGTGTGTGTGTGTCAAACCCTGTTTCCAAGGGTCTAATTTAAAGCAGGGGGACAGAGCTCCCTGATGCTACTCTGTCCAACGAAGCTAGGCATCAGAGAGGGAAGCAT